GATTTCAAGTGCTTTGTTGATCTGGCTCTTAATATATAAACTCTCTTTCTTTTTACAGGCTATTCTTAATATATGTTCTATCTTTGAGATGTTTTTGAGCTATACTTGGACTTCTTCTAAGGACTGAGGAGCTATAAGATCTCAATTCTCTGTTTCCTTGCATAGGGAGTAGAGTTTATTGATTACTTGTATATGTTTGTCTCTAATGTTTGTATCCCAACAGTGATAAGTCTTTTTTAGCAAGTAGTAGACTCTGTTGACCTCTCTATAAGCTTTGTACTCTTGTTTATTTACTGGTGAATCAAATCTTTTCTTTTCTGATGTTGAATATATTTTTTTCTTTTTAAGAGTTCTATATACACCTTTGACAAGATTATTTTTTAAAGTTCTTGCTATGCTTGATCCAGCCTTGTTTGGGTCCATGTTGAGTTTTCATCATATGGGTGTAATCGGTCATATTCTATTATTTTGATTTCAGTTCATTGTTTAAACTTTTTCCATTGCATTAGTGTTGAGTTGACGGAATCTGGGATCTTTTTGCCTTGTGTTCTTTTTTGGTTTAGATACTGTTTATCTTTTAACAAGTTGTCATTTGTTAGCCTAATTAGAAGGAGAGTAAAAAATAATTAATAAATATATATGATATATATCAATATAATAGTATAATATTTAAATAACAAAATAAGTAAACTATAATAAATACTTTAAATAATTCAAAATATATATATATATATTAAACATAATAATCAATCTTTTAATACTATTTAATAAAAATATGAAATTAGGGATCATATAATAACTTTTTTAATAAAATAATAAGAAAATATATAATAACATTAAGATACCAACTTCTTTGTTTCTATATTTCTTTATAAAATTAATTATATCTATTTGAGTCTAATAATTATTGATATTTATATATTTTTGAAATCATAAATCTTCAAATAATATACTATACTATTAGGTATTAATTTATATAATATACTTTTAATTTTAAACAGTTTTAAAATTTGATTATAAGATTATCATATATTTTTTATAATAACATACTATATATATTATAAATTCTATTTTGAGAATAAAAATTTTATTCAAAATATAGTATATAAAACTTATTTATTTAAAATTTAAAAATTTAATATATATTTTTTATCTAAATCTTTGATATCTTTTTTATTAATTTTAGCTTTAATTTTACAAAAATATTGACTAGAATTATTGATAGTTATAGGTATTAATTTATTATTATTAATCTAGAAATTGTTAACTTTATAAAATATTCTTATTATTTTTAAAATCTATTTTATATATATTTTAATTTGACTTAATTATTATTATTTTTAAATTAACTTGAAAAATATTATTATTCTTCTTCTTTTATTTATAATTTCTTTTAATTAAAAACTTGATTTTTAAAAATTTAACAAAATAAATAATAATTTTATTATTTATAGTAAAATAATTTTTTTTAAAAATTTAATAGTAAAATATATAAAAATTTTTTATAATATAAAATTTTATTTTTTTTTCTTATTTAAAATTTTTTAAAAATTTTTATTTTAATCAATTTTAAAATTTTAAATAATATGATTAGTAAAATTATATTAGTTACTATATTAAAACAAACTTTTGTTATTTTCAATTATAGATTTTAAATATTTTATTAATAATAGAAAAAAAAATATAAAATAATTCTTTTTTAATTAAACAAGTCTTTTTATATAAATAAGTTATAATGTTAAAAAAATAAATAATATATACTTTTTTAAAACATATTTAAAACTAATTTAATTTATTTAATAATATAAAAGTTTAATTAAACAAAGTTAAGGTTTTTTTTATTTTTATTATTTTGATTAAATAAAGTTTTTAAAATTAGATTCATAAATAAATCTTTTATAATATAATATTATTGAAAAAATATAATAATCAAATTTATATATAGATAAAAATAAGTTTTTTAGATAATTATAAAAAAGTTTTTTAGATTTAAGAATAGATAAGTTAATTAAATATTCAAAAATAAGAATATTTAATAAATATTATTTTTAAGAAGAAATATTATTGATTATTTTGAAATTGATGAATTTTTGAATTAAAAAATTAAAAAGAAAAAAAAAATATTCTTATTATATTTATTAACTAAATTATTAATGATGATTTTTTGAATCAAAAGTTAAAGTACAAAATTAGAAAAGAATAAAAATATTTTTTTGTAAATCAGATTATTTATAATTCAAAATTCAATATAAAATTCTAAAATTTATTTAAATATATAATAATTAAATTTATAATTATTATGATCAAATTATTATTTTCAAAAAATTTTTATAACAGTGATAACCTGCCAACTATAATATACAAACCAAGAGAGTTTTTACTCAAAGTCCATTACAGAATAAAATATTGTTTTCAAGACCAAACTTAGAAGCTTTTGATGCCTATAACAAGTTAATTAGATGTGACTTAATGTATAACTGTAATATGTATCATGCTGCTCGAATAAATATGTACTTATGAATTTTTTTGATCAATAAACAAACGTTTAATCTGGCTGCGGGTAATGCAAAAAAAAAAAATTTATATACTTGATTTAATTATCTACTTGTCTACTGAATAGGGTATCAGGTTTTTCTTTATTAAAGTCACATGACCCTGGATTTAAAAAAAAACGATAAAATGACGAATTTGATATAATTTGCTAAAAAGGAAAATGCACTCCTGATTCACCGATTATCGCGTGAATTTTTTCACATTGAGTCATTTTTGCCATTGAATGATATTTTAAAATAACTCAATATATATTTTGTTAGATATATTTGCAATTGAATTGACATGCACCTGTCAAAAAAATTGCACCGCGCTTATAGCATAAACATCTTATCCTGACATTGGTTCTATACATTCCTTATATATAAATATACCCTTAGAAAACCAAAACCAAAACAACTATGATATCTTCGTCTTCCTTGTCTCTAAGACCGACCTCAATGCAATCTCACTCGAGTGATGAAAAAAAAATGGAGTTACTCATAAACTTGGTTGAACCATCAATTATACTTCGCGGGAATCCACATGAAGCTCCGGGTACTTTCCTAAGAGGTCAATTAATGTTAAATTTAAGCAAACCCACCAATATAAGAAAAATAGAAATTAAATTTATTGGAAAGGCCAAAACATTCTGGGTAGCGGGTACCATATATATATTTTTTATATTAAATTATTTTTTTAGCGAGATGATAAAAGTCATTTTCATTTCATGGATGGTTTCTCTATTTTAATAGGTCTTAAGAATGAACAGCAAGCACATACCGAAAAACATGAGACCATTAACCGCAAAGTCCAATTCGTAATTCCTCCTCCAACGGCCGAAGAACCTTCACAGCATGGTAAATTTGGATTAAAAAACTTGTCAGTGAAGTTTAAGGATCCAAATATGGTTTCGGCTGGTTCATATGTATTTCCATTCTAAATAATTATACCCGGCAATCTTCCCGAATCCGTCGAGGTCGAGCATGGAAGCATTAGATATAAACTAATAGCAGAAGTGTCGCGATCCATGTTACTGCCAAAACTAGTAAAAAAATATGATTTGAAAATCGTTAGAATTTTACCCGATTACGAGATTTCCGAGGGGATAGCATTATTGAGAGATTACGACTCAACACTTAGATATGAAATCTCGATTCCCAAACGCGCATATTCTCTCGGACAAACAGTTCCGATTGAAGTTAAGTTAATTCCGCTTATCAAAAACCTAAAAATTCGTGGTCTGCTCGTTGAGTTATTGGAAGAAATCACTTACACAGCTAATGGAGCCCAAGCGGGAACTACCAAGGTGGTAACAACGCATAATTCTGACAACCTGGTTCACGAAAATCTTCTGCAAGATCAAGATGATATAGAAGACATAAGTTATCATGAAACGTTGCGTTTTTTTATACCAAACGAAACAAATTATTCTATGAATACCCCGTTGATTAATATAAGTCATAATTTTAAAATTTACTTTATCGTAAATTTTCCTCACGATCCCGATGATAATTCGAAAACAAAATTATTTGTGAGATGCCCTATTACTATAATTTCTTGTGTGGAAGCCGGGCAATTCTTTGATCTGCCTAATTACGAAGAAAAATTTTGCACTTGCGACCCCGAATATGAAAGGGTGGCTAGATTAGTATTAGGCGAAGCTGCGACTGAAGGTTGCAATTGTGGCGGTAGAAACACGGAACCAGAAACGTCTGTCACGGGATGCGGAAACTGCGGTAATTACAGAAATTGCGAGAATTGCGGAAATTGTGAGAATTGTGATCTTCAAAGGTCACCACCAAGTTATCCCCGGGAAAATTAAATCAAATACATATTACGTACAATACATCTCACTTATTA